AACAGCATATGAAAAGTAGCATCGTATATAGTGATATACTGACTGTATATCTGCTGGTTAATCGCAATTTTAGTTTTATAGTTTTGTGTGTCTGACATGAACTGTGATCAACCATATATGTATGTATGTATGTATGTATGCATGCATATATATAACATACCAGTTTTTAAAATTATAATTCACTTATCGATTCACATCAGTAGCTATTATTTTTGTGCGTAATTACAGTCTGAAAATGGTTCTATTAGATCGCGTATCATTTTGTTTTTACCTGAAATTTGTGTGATACGAACAGATTATTTTACTTCTTAATAATATGGGGATTAAACCCAATTACGTGATTCGGCTCTTCCTCATTTTATTAGAAACCTGTTGTCAATGTTTCATAAGAGCCATTAGGTGATCAGTAGCGCGACTTGCCTCTACTCGTTACATCAACAAACTTCTGTTGTCAGTGCTTCAACAACAGTCTGTCTAATTACCACCCAGGAAAAAAAAAATAATATATATATATATATATATAACAGTTAAAGCAGAAGAGCTTCTACCTCTTTCGAGATCATTACGAACAAAACATAGTTACTATTGTATAGCTAGTCTCGATAAATTATTTAGTAAGACTTTTTGAACAACCTCATATGAGACTTATCAAAGTGCTACGCATCAGTCGTACAATTTACAAGCTCGGTTAACCCAAATCTTGCAAGTCACGCGATGATGACACTGTTTGTTTTGGTTCTTCATAGATACCAGCAGCCAAAAGATGAGTGATGTCTGCTGTAGTTTTGTTCAGACAGTCTATTGCAAGTGTTAAAAGCCATATTGATAGTGTTCAGAGGTTGTACTAACGTCATAATTAAATGAAAAAAATAATTATTTTAAATGTTTATACGTTGCCTTCACACTCAATTGAAACTGTAGAGTGATCTCATTTTGCTGATGAAACATAACTCATTGATTTTTGAGTATTTAAAGCAAGGTTTATAACGTGAAATACCCGGGTATTATGGGTTATTCTTTTAAGTTGTTACGTGCACATAATTTCATATTTTAGCATGACGTAAAAGTCTTTATTATTCGTTTATTTGAAAAAAAAATAATTTGTTGAATTTGTTCACAAAATAAAAAACCCAACAACATTGATTTACACGTATAACGCGAAGTGTTTTATAAAGAAGTTGTAACTTTGTGATCTGTGGTGGTAATATTGATTTCTCCAGTGTAGTACATTTGAGGTAGTGTACAGTGTGATTGAAATATTTTCAGCCAAAGTTTTGCGTCATAATTTATGAAATTGGACTGAGCATGTGAATAGTATTTAAAGGTAAATCAATATTTTGTCATGTTCAGCGTCATGTTAGTTAATAGCTTACATCTATAATATTTTTTTAACACGTGGAATGACCTTCGCATCGTCCATAAGAACCAACACGATCTGTTTACGAGTATTTGAGCGTGGCTAAACAGGTTCTAAAATTTCTTTCACTTGCATGATCATCATTTGTATTATAGAGTATAAGACTTCATTTTTAGGGTCAAGGTGAAGTTCACGATACAAAAAAATCCTGGAAATACTCTGCCATTTAGTATAGGAAAAGAGTTGCTATAAAAATTTCAGACAAAACCATTCAGAGCATGTGTGTTGGTTGTAACAGCGTATAATCTGTGCATTTTTAAAGTTATTTTGTTTTAGCACATTCGTATTTTTGTTTCTACATTCTACTTGTTTGTAGACCAAAAAGTTGTCAGTTCCTATTGGGTTAATATTTAATCAAATCACGTTCACTACGCTTCTCTTTAGGCCAGAAGTCGTCAATCTTCGAATAGTAATTATAGGAACTTACGAGTGAAATTAAAGAAGACTGTACTAATGTGTCAACTACACTATATCTGCTGTATCAGGTGTTGACGAGGCCTTTCGCTTGATACCAGGGCTCATCAGACTGGCTAGGATACAATATAGTAGTGGTCAAGACTAATTATTCCTTCACTTTCGATGGAATTACATTCGCTTGGCCTCTGTTTGATTCGAAAGCCGTTAGTACCAGAATAATATTGTACTAAGATTGTGCAGTTAATAATAACCAAATATAGAAATTTAAGTGAAAGGCATTGGAAGTGAATACAATTATGTTTAAAACACCAAAGTTGGAGGTTATTTTCAAAATTACGAAACCTTGAGAACAATTTGTATAATTAAGTACAATTAATTCATTGCTAAATAATCATTCCATTTGTAAAATCACAATTAGAAAGTTTTTTTGTTTAAAATTAAGATTTACTTACAGAGGGCACTAGCATGCAGTGCATTGCGTGTTGAGCGTCACCGTCTACAGTGGCACCAGATCGATATCATCTCAGACAGTGAATTTCGTCACTATCATTAAGAATTTTTTTAAAATTAGCCACACCTATCTGGAAAATATTCTACATTTCACTATCTTTGATTGGGCGATTTGCCAATTATCTTTCTGTCGTTCGAAATATTTTGTAAAAAAAAAGGACATACGTGATTCTTGTAGTAATTTGTAGATAAGTAAAGAAAAACGAAGTAAGTGTAGGGTTGGCTGATACCAATCCTTCAAAAACAAGATAGTAGGGAGGGTATTTGCATCATCCCCATATAATAATAATAATAATACAGGCACGCAGTGTAGCGAAATGTTAACAGACAAAAATAGGATAAATTAAACTCAATTGTGATTGAATAGTAGTGTATATTATTGTTATATGTTAATTCTTGCTGTGCTATTATGTAGGGATGATGCAAATGCCATTCCAACTGTCTTGTTTAAATTGTTTTTGAGGATTAATATTACCCATCCTTACATTTACCTCGTTTTTTGAAAAAGTTTTACTTTTCTTGTTTGCTTGTTTTTAATGAAGTGTTTTAGTAGACATAGGAAGGTTATACTTATAACCAAGTTCTAAATACAATTAGAATGTAATATTCATTGTTTAACTATTATTGGCTGGTAATTCCTGCTTCACCCTGTTCTTAAGCATTTTCAATTTTTAAAGGAACAACAAAATACTGTAATGAAGCAAAATTCAAGGGGTAATGATAACATTGTTTACACTAGACTTGTGTTATTTCTATTTTAATTACTACTAGTTAATAATACTTGTAAATTTCATTTGAAACTATGTCAACCCATTGAATTTGGTTGACACCATTGTTTTGCTTTTGAGTTATCATCTAATAAAAAAAGAAGCAGAAGAAAGAATAACAAGAAATTCAAACTTTTGGCTACAATATTTATAGACATTCCCATAACTTGTGACTCAGTCATTATATAGATATTGTTTTAAAAGGAAACTATATAGTAAAGTTCTAATAACCTATTGAGGAGATATTTAATATACCATTTCAATGAACGATTCAAGCCATCCCAAAACACACAGTGCTACTGCCTGCCTGATAAAGTAAAAAAATCAGAAGTTTATATTTTGGAAAGATATTATAAAAATGGTGGGATGCTTAGAATCAGACAAAAGTTGTGATATCTTGAACAAGGTTATTACTTTAGTTGAAATATATCGTTAATTATTAACTTGCCAGTAAAGTTATTTCCACCTCATTATTATAGATATGTATATTTTGGGACTGTGGGAGAAACATGTATAAAGAATCAAAATCTTCTAAGTGGGTTTTAGTCACTTATTAGACAGAAGATTTATCTGGTTTTAGAAAGAGCTGCATATACTTGACATCTTGGTCACAGAGTGACTCCATGAGCTGGTTTGCACCTGTAAAGTAGCTTCACCCATGATGAGAAACAATATGTGAGGGGTTCAGGGACCTCTCGGTGTCTGGAAACTTGATGGTGTTAACATGATCTAAAATGAAATCTAAGGCTCTCCTTGATTGAAAAAATATTCAAGTGAAACTATTTTTTTTATGTTGTTTAGGTCAAACACCAGCCTTTTTCAGGTGGAAAGGGGATTTTCTGCTAAGAAGTTTAGATCACCAATGTGTTAGACATGTTGGTTGGGGTGGCTATAGTCCCCTGAAGCCTCCTTCCTTAAACACCACCCTTGCTATTGTTTAAGAAAATTATAGAGGCCAAAGCAAAAGGCAAAAAACCTTTTCTAAATCTATTTATATGCTATTTTTAACATTCCTTAAAAAACTCACAACAAATTACACTGATTTCAGTTCTAAGCCTCATAAATATAAATTACTGATTAACTACGGCAAATATCACAAAATGCAAACGTGTTGTCATGAATGTAAAATTTCAAAAAGTCCTACACAATAAAACTTCACTTTTTAATAATGAATTAAGTAAATGATAACAACTACATTCCTCCCTTGGTTTTTAAATACCATTCAACATTTAAACCATAATGTTTAATGTATGAAATTGCAAGAGGTAAAAGTTTCTCAAAGCAATGTGTAATGTCTAAAATTAGTAAGATTTACTTCAGTCATCCATCTAACCCTTTCAGATAGTCTTTCAGAAGAACATTTTTATTGATTACATATTTCACTCAAAAGAAAATATACTAGAACAGTAACTGAGTAAATCTGAATTATTTTTTGTGGTTGTTTGAAATGATTTGTTGCTTTTTTTGGTGTAAGTATTCCTTGACAATTTATTATACCAATTTTCACAGATTTAGTTTTTAGCATAACTGTGTGAGTGTGGTTGTGACATCTTGACCTCTTTAAGTTGGGAGTCATGTCATCAGTTTCAGAATAGCATACCATTATCATAGGTCATTTTTTACAAATCTACTGGCCAGTTAAAGATCTGTTATTACATAACCCCTTGAAAAAAGGCATAGTAAAATTGTTTGTGTTAGTTATTAACATTAAAATGTTATAGGCCTTGTTCTATGAAAAATTTTACTTGTTGTGTTCCCATATCTTGTAGATAATGTTTTCTGTATAAACTAATGCACAAAAGTTTGGAATATAAAAGTTGGACTTGATTACCTGTGAACTTTTATTTTGTTCTGTGTTGCATAAAATTTTCATTGGTGTTGTCTTGCAGCAAGAAAGATTGAACAAGAGTGAAAGACAGAGGTTTCGAGAAGAAGCTGAAATGTTAAAGGGACTACAACATCCTAATATTGTTCGTTTTTATGACTACTGGGAAGTGAACTTGCCTAAGAAGAAATATTTGGTATTAATTACTGAGCTAATGACATCGGGAACTTTGAAAACGTGAGATTTTCTTGTTATATTTTATTTTAATTTTGGAATTACAAGTGCTAGAAGTGTTTGAATAAATGTTTATGTTAGAGAATTAACATAATTAGATTTATAGTACTAAATACTTAGTTTTTTCATCAGGTTTGTTTTAAACATCAATTGAACAGGTTATTAAGATTCAAAAGTTATTTGAATTTTTAGACAAGTGGTGAACTATATCATGTTTGTGGTGTTTATAAAGAAAATCCAATAAATATATATATATAATGATTACATCTTAAAACTACTTGTGCTAGGATAACAGTTTCACCTAAGAGACATTGAGAATTGTAAGTTTTATTCAGAAAAGTTTGGACATGATACAGGGTATATCAAAACCATAATGTTGCGGACCTAAACTGCTTTTCTGGCAATCTTGCATTAATTCCTTTCTTTCTCTCTCTTTCAATGTTACAAGATTAAATACAAATAAAATTCATTTCAGCATGAATCATATTGCAAAGATCACTAAATACTGTCCTGAACAAATAAAAAATGTTCCCTTTAAACTGTGTGCATGCGTGACCATGCAGCAATCTATCAGGTACTACGCATCGGAAACAATAGTCTGCTTATGGTAATCAGTTGGTAATAGTTTTGTGTGGAAGGCAGAAGCCTACAATTTGAGCAATATCATGTTCAAAAGGCCAGGAATAGAGATTTCAACAGCCTCTCAAAAAAAAGTGCTGGATAGAAAAGTAGCACTCGGAGTAGTTTGTAATCTACCCATTACAAAGAAAAATTTGAAGGAATATTTGTAAATGATGCTTGCTGTTTTTGCTATCTTCATTTAGGAATAGGATTGATGTTCTTGATTGAGAATTATGAAAATATCTTGTACCATACCCAAACTGTTTTGAATAAAAGTTGTAATCCTCATTGTCTGTTTGAAATTTAAGTATATGCGGATTCGTTGTCATGAACATGAGGAACTTTCTGCTCAGCAATAAAATGATACAGAACAGTGTCTTGGACTTCTTAGAGCTCTTCTTGATGAAGAGGTGGTGTAATGAGAAAAGTGACATCATCAAGATGGCAGAGAAAGTGTACCAATTCAGCTTGTACTTAAAATATTTTGATGTAATGCAGAATATGTTTTTCAAGAACTTCTTATTCTAGTTCATTTGATTCATCTACTGGGAAAAGAACATCCAGACTGTATTCTAGCAGGCTATTTAAACATACCTGTAGTTACCCAATGATGAATAATCTTTAATAATTGGGATTTCTTTTTAATCACGTTTTTAGTCAGTACTTAAAAATTAACCTACTACCCTTGTATTTCCTGGTCATGATGGTAGAAAACAGGTGCATACTTGATATGCTATATTTTTAACATTAATGAAGTAAGGTAATTGAACAGTAAGTGTCACAAACAACTTTAGCAGGCAAAAATGGAACAAATAATATCCAAATTAGAAATAGTTTCACAACTCTATAATTAAGGTTTGAACAGGGCTTGTTAACTTGTGCGTGTGTGCACCTAATACACACAAATTCCTTAGAACTCTAGGATTTTTTTATCCCAGCCACTACGTGACCCCTTTTATAGGGATATGCTTTGTTGAGTGTTGTCCCCTTATTTCTTCTCATCAACGTAGTCGTCAGCCTTGGTCTTCTCTCTTCCTCCTGGACTTCCAGCCATCTCTCAAGTCCTCATACCAGCTAAATTAGCAGATACGAGATATGAACTTAGCAAAAACATTTGTTTTTCACAAGCATGGCAAAGGGGGATATCAATATCCCTGAATACCCCAGTTTAGTAAAGTTTATCTTTCCTTTAAAAACTAATTCCCTGCCACGATTTTTTTATTTTGAGTTGAATAGACACACAATCAAATTTTTATCTGAAATAAACAAAGAAGTGATAAAACAAATAAGGAAGTCTTAGTGCAACATGAACACAAGATTTATGTCATTTGGAAAGAAAATTAAATATTTGTACTGTATTGTTCTTATTTAGAAAGCTAATAATTATGTAGTTTACTTGCATTGCTGTTTTTTAATGGAAGCCAGTAATGCAGTCAGTATAGGTAAGGGATGCAAAACTGCATATTGTGTATTATTTGATAGATATAATTATTACTTATAAATAGTTGTAATTTCTGTGGGTGTGTATTCCATGTATGATATGTTAATTAGCACTAATCATGTATATATATCAGTTATAAATCTATATTTTTAGGTACTTGCGTCGATTTAAGAAGATCAATTTGAAAGTTCTGAAGTCTTGGTGTAAACAAATCCTAAAAGGATTGAACTTCCTCCATTCTCGCTCTCCTCCTATCATCCATCGTGACTTAAAATGTGATAACATCTTTATTACGGGGACTACAGGATCTGTAAAAATTGGAGACTTGGGACTTGCTACATTGAAAAATAGATCATATGCAAAAAGTGTGATAGGTAAGATATGTACTGTGCAATTCTACTTGAATGTTTTATAAGTGTTAAATTGAAATTCATTATAGTATAGTAAGATATGCAATTTGAAGGAAATGTGTTCTGTTTTTGTGGATAATTTAGTATATTTCTTAAATATTATTATGTAGGAGATACTAATATGAAAAAGAGTATTTTAATAAAACTTTAAACAAATTCTGTGCAGTGTGTGAAAATTAATTGAACCCAAATTATTTCCCAGATTGGTCAAGCAGCTTTAAGAAGACTTTTATGGGTATGAGAGAAAAATAAGCAAAAAAAATAAGAAATAAAAATATCAATATAGTGAACTTGCATGGAAAATATACCCAACTGGTCGAATAATCTTTATGACCCTTTAGGTACTCCAGAATTCATGGCACCAGAAATGTATGAAGAACATTATGATGAATCAGTAGATGTGTATGCCTTTGGAATGTGTATGCTGGAAATGGCCACTTCTGAATATCCATATTCTGAATGTAGTGGTCCTGCCCAAATTTATAAGAAGGTTACTAGTGTAAGTAATTAATTTAGTTGTGTTTAATGAGATTGTTAGTTAATGACATTATTTATCCTGTAGTTACCATTATTCATGATTATGGTTCTTTAGTAGTCTTCTTAAGGCTGAGAATGATTGTGACATGGTCTGTTAGGTTTCTAAAGCTCTCACACAGTTAGATTCAAGAAATTATAAAACTGAAACCAGTTTGTAAGAATAAATTGGGAAAAAATAGGGTGATCAGTGTAGTAATTATTTATTTGTGTATTTTTGTTACAATTTTCAGAAATATAAGGTTGAGTATATACTTTAAATGTGGACAATAGAAATTTATTATTATTTTGTATTTTTACGAATAGGGTATTCCTCCTCAAAGTTTTGGTAAAGTTGAAAATCCTGAGCTGCGAGGTATTATTAATTGTTGTACTCGACTTTCAAAAGAAGAAAGGTTTGTAGACAGCATCTTTACCTAAAGCCATCAGACATTAGATTTTAAAATGTTTATTTGTATTATAGATTTTAATAGCTTTTAGTTAATTTTACCTTAATCACTTGTGTTACTCCTGTTGTATTTTGTGAGAGTAAACATTGTACATCACAAAGATACTTAAGACCTTTGATCAGTACACATAAATGCACTACTACACGCACCTGTATCAAAACTCGTTTCTTTGATCAAGACTTCTAGACCCATAGAAACATGTTTTTAACTTACAGAAAAGACAAGAGTTCCCGATAATCAATTAAAATACAAACTTAAGTGAAAAAAAAGGGTAGATAAACAACTTATTTCTAACGTTGTGTATGTAATTATTTATTGAAGATGAAAGTTATTCTTATTATGTATGTTTTTATATTATTAACTGCATAAAATGTTTCATTACCAGACATCAATTTCATATTTGCAGTCATAAAATCATTAAGATATTTATTCAGATATTTATATGGAGCTACATTTCTTGAAGAAATGATATTGTTTTTTACGTTTGGTTGGTGCAAACACTTTTGCTGATATTGGATGAACATAAGAACATAATTTCTCAATTCTAAAGTTTTGTCTTTGTTACCGATGTTTACTGGCCATGACCCTGAAATCTTCCTATGTTTAGTTTTGCATAACTGTTTCAACGTAATGACAAAAACAATTTCTTCTCTCAGCCCAGGTTTTAAAACTTGAAAATAATAATAAAACTGATGTTTAAGGTGCTAGTTATCTTTTACTCACTACAGTAAAGCTGTATTTATAAAGTTATTTTGATGGGTATGTAGAATTAATGCTACTAATTTATAATTCTAAGCTATTCAGTAGACAAGCTTTTCATTAAGATAATACAATTTTTCTTCTTTCGTCACTAGAATTATAAACTTCAGCAAGAATGAAATGCGAAGCCCAATCTATTGTGAAATTCACTGTTTGTCACTGAGCTATATTTCTACTAGTTTTGAAAAATCCTATCCCTTAAAAGTATTCATTGACATGGTCATTTTATAGTGCTCCATAAGTTGTGTATGGTGTTTAAGTTGGTGACAATTGGTGAATTGAAATGATAGATCAGTCTCTTTCTTGCGAAAATTTACAATTAGAGAATAAATTACAGTTAGCTTTGTTGCTATTTGCTTCTTGATCTATTTTGTATAAGTAAAGATTTACTTGTATGAATGAAACTGTTAAAATTTATAGGGTATTAAAAGGTGTTCTTAAATTGTTTTTTTATCATGATGTAGCAGTTAAAGTATTTCAAAACTAAGTAATTCATGTCTTGATCATCATTGTTAAGGAGTCATGATATGTGTAAGATGCTTGTTTCAACATTCTCATGTTTCCACATTACCTACAAGATGTTTGTTTCAATGTTAAATTGTTTCCACATTAGATACAAGGTTTTAATTTCATCATTATCATGTTTCCACATTATGTGCATGATGTTTATTTCAATATTAACACAAAATTTTTGTTTCTTAAGATGAAACTACTTCTCACATTTTTTGTTAAAAGTTTAAACTATTTTAATATGAGTGCATGTTGATTAATTACAATTGAAAGTAATAAATCTAGAGGCTTGCTGAGAAGGTGGAGTTGCAATTAACTCATCTGTATTTTTCTTGATTTTCATAATATGAGGTTAAAAAACAAACTTTTAATCATAATCGTTATGCAAGTTTAGACCCCCTGAAAATGTTCAAATCTCTCTCTTTCATCTTTAAGAGATCATGTTAGCAGTAACATTACAAATACAGGTAATGAAAGCAATGCTGAAGAAAGATTAGAATTTGCTTGGGCATAGATATTAACTGTTATGTCTAGTTGTAAGTTCTGATCAACAACATTGGAAAACTGTTTCTAGTATAAACTGTTATCACACTGATTTATTGGTGAACATGTACCAACAGGCCTACTGTGAAGGAACTGCTCCAGTTGGATTTCTTCCAGGAGGATCTCGGTGTGAAAGTTGAGTTTGTGAATCGTGAGAAAAGCATTTCCAGCACTGATCAGAAAGTTGAATTACGTTTAAGAGTTCTAGATCCAAAGAAGAGAAAAGACAAACATAAAGAAAATGAGGCCATTCAGTTTGAATTTGACATTGAAAATGATAATCCCGATGAAGTTGCCCAGGCTATGGTAAATTTTCATGTTATAGTTTACTTTTGTGATATTTGATCTTCCTGTAAAACCCACTTGACACAAAAGAACAAAAATGCATAATTACTGTCTAGAAATTACTGAGGTAATGTATGTAATATATAATTCAGGTGTAATAATATTTTGTAAGACTTCTTAAAAGCAGTGTCAAAGGAACCTCATACTGAATTTATTTGAGAAATAGGCTTTGAACCCTGGGCTGCATTTATATTGTGCAGTGCCATGTTAATTATTGTTAAAGTGACCAAATTTTCTGGAGTCCAAAGCAGGACACCTAACTAATGAATAAAAAATTAGTTGCATTAAAAAAATTAAAACTTTGTTTCATAAAAAAAAATGCATACCGTCTTATTATTATACTTTTCATTAAATAATTTCTTTAATAAATCAGGAGTATGATTTGAAAAAATGCCATAGAAAAGAATGACATTTATGAAAAATACATACCATATAATCATTTTCTGCAGTTATAATTAACCTAAACATGAGAATTATTTGACAAAATTGCCTGAAAAAAATACAAAATCTTGGTTAAGATATTGATATAATAATAATGTGTCTGTAAGTGAAATGTTACAGTAATAATTGTACATAGACTGATTAAGCTGCAAAAATTTGAGACATAACAGAGTTTAAAATAAATTGTCAAAGATGTTTTGGACTTTCAGCACATATTCCGAAATAAAGCAAACTAATTTCATATTGTTTTTTACTGAATGCTAAGATACAACACTTCAATGATTTCATAGTATAAAAATCACTGGCTAATGCCTAACAGTGTGTTATGAGACTATAAACAAGCTAATTTCATATTATTACATCCTCAGTAAGTATATGATTATTTATGTGTTTGAACATTAATATATGAACACGAAGGATATACGAGGACAGGACAAATCTTATGTTCACTCATAGTACGGTAGTGCTTACCAGTATTAATTTCGATAATGTGGAGCATTTAAGTTCATATCTCCCAAAGCAGGACATGTTTCTTGGGGACAGTGGTACAGGCAGCTCAAAAACGGGACTGTCCCGCTGAAATCTATATGTCCGGTCACATTAATTATTATAGAGTTTGATTAAAATTGTTATAAGATTGACATTAGAAAATTTTATTTAGATTATATTAAATAATAATGTTCTCTATAAAAAATTCATCTTGGATGGATTTGAACATGATGTTTCTTATGAATAGAATAAGTATTTTTAAGCATTTATGTATTAATTAAGAGTAAATTACCTATAGCAAACGAGTATACTTAAGTCTGAAATGTCATTTCATAAGTTCTACCCTTTTGATAATTTAATAATGGCACTTTCTGAAACACAACTAAATCAGCTTTTGGTTGTTTAGCACTGATGTTGTACTTAGCCTGTACTTCCCATTTTTTTATGTAAAGTCTTATATCAGTGTTGTCTATTGGTTAAAGCAGTTTTATCAGATGATCATTTCTGTAACCTTTAAGAATAACTAGAAAGGTGGTGTGTTGATACATTCACTATAATCGAAATGGAACCTTATTGGACCCATTTTTATATCAGGAGTGTCATATTACTTTAAGAATATTTAGCAAAGTATTGTATTTATATAGTGGCTATAATGGAAATGGAATCATCGGACCCATTTTTTTGTAAAGAGTGCCACCTATATACTACTAGAACTCTGAGATTGTTTGTTTGTGTGTGTGTGTGCTTGTCTGTAATTACATACAGCAAAAACAGTGCACAAGAGTGCCATATTTGTAATGAAATGTGAATAGAAACAGAATAAAACTAGTTTCGTTAAAATTGGGCCACAGGTTACCGAGTTAGCGCCATTTTTCGTGTTACTTTTCATACATTCCATTATTATAAAACTTTGTTTTCGACCTGATGAATCACTTTAAAATATCTTCTATACAACAATATATGCACAACAGAAATTAAATGATGAGATGAAAATGTGTTATAATGGCACATAGAAAGAA